CGACAAAATATGCGCAACACACGTTTATGCGTATCCACTGGCATATCCTTTTGTATTTCTGTTGGCATTATGACTTCACGATATATTTCACGTGGTATTAAATTACTCATGCGTATATTTCCTAATTCTAGTAAATGTTCCACTGAGTCATCGCTTTTCGATTTTTTGGTATACAAGAAACCACTAAGCACCAGATCGGCAATACCGATCTGTCCATCAGTTTCAGTTAGACGCCATTGAGCGCGCTTAAAACAAATTTCATTTGCACGTACAATTGTTAGAGATTTATCAGCACGTACCTGTAAATTAAGAAACAATTATTATATACAATAAATAAAATTTTTTAAAAAAAAAATATTTTATATACACAAATACATACATTTGATATTTTACTAAGTTGAGATAGTTGGGTCTCTTTGTAACAGAGTAACATCATGTCTATTTCTTCACTTAATGTATTCAACTCCTCTTTACTTTCTCGTATTTGTTTTTGCACCCTTTCAAATTCAAGCTTTAACTCCAGTGTATCGCCCTCTTCAGCGCGTTCTTTACTGATCAAATGTATATCTTTCTCCAGTGAACGTATTTTCATTAACAAACTACGTATAAGTGTTTGTTTTTGTTGTATGGGGCGTTTTTGATCTTCACTTGAATGCAGTTGTAATTGAAAGCGCATTCTTGCGAGTTTTTCCAGCGCTTGCTTGCGTTGTGGTTCCACATAAAGTAATAAATTGTTAACAATATCCAATATCATAGCATACTGAAGTGAGTTCGTACACACATCTAAATCATGATGCATAAGCGTAAAGGCATCTACAGGATCATCCTGTTTCTCCCAAGGTGAAAGCGTTTCTTCAGATGGCGGTGGTGGCACTTCAGTTATGGAATTAGGATCAATAGTGTCACCATAGCTAACATAAAAAAATTCACATTTACAACGTGATACAATACGTTGCAATTGCACTGGTTGCGTTTCACCAGGATGTTCAATTGACGCAGCACCCACAGTTTCTGAGACAACACCACCCACACTTCGTCCACTACCCACCAAGTGCGGTATATCCGGCAAATCATGTATAACAGTATCATCTTTATCCTAATGATAAAAAGTTATTGTTACAAAAGTACAAGAAAAAAAATTATAATGTTAAATATTACTTGTATATTATCTACAGTCAACCACATAATCTCTTTTTCTAATAATGAATCGTTTTCGCCAGCGCTAACAGTGGCGTAGTACTGCATGCATTCCAAGAGACCCTTCCAAGTTGTCTTTGATATCAAAGATCTATCACGCCATACAGGTCGATGCACACGTTGCAAAATTTCTGCTTTCGCAGCACTAATTATAACATAACCTGAGGTTTCACAGCCTTTTAAGAGTACTTGAGAATTCACCAGTGATATTGACCAGTTTTCGTGTATGACGTCGAGTGCACAACAAGCCTGTAAGCCCTGTAATTGCAATTCGCGTGATTGCGTATTTTGATCATCACTGTAAACATTAAATTTATGATCTGCCTCTGCAATCAATTGCTGCAACATTGCAGTTGCATGACTAGCGGGTTGAGGTTTCTTCAAAGTTGCATTACCAGCAGCCACTACAAGAAAACCACAGAGATTAAAGTACAAACATATATAGAATTAAAAATAAAAAAATTTTTGTTGTTGCAATTTCACTACTGTTCGGTAAAAACCTCTCTATTGAAAATAATAATTTATATCAAGAATTTAGTTTAGAATTCGAATAAAACTTACTGGGTATTCCTTCGGCTGTGTTATTAGCTAAAGTTATTGTGCTATCGCTACGTTTATTTTTTATGAAAGACGATGCTCCTTCTTTTCGATAGCTCTTCACCGCTTCGGTCGAAAGATTATTCTTTAGTTTTTGTGACTTCATAAAAGAATCAAAAAGTGCAAAAGCAACGTCTCGATTATTTTTTGTCCAAGCACCTTTCAAATCGTAAACCACTAATTTATGTGTAGGCGTTGAAGTTTTTGTTTTCGCTTCCTCTTCGTTAGTTGTTGTATACAAAGCAGCTTCACGTCCGTAAGATACTTTAGCTACGCTTAAGAAGTAAAAACGTACAATTTTGAATGCATCTGCAGCAAGATTTTCAGAACTACTGTCTAGTTTCTCCGTTAGTATGCTCTTTAACCATATTTCTGCATCATTTAGTTCACAATTCATATACACAGTAGACCAATCTGCACGATCTCTATGAATTAATCCATCCTCAATGGGAGAAAGTGATAGACTATATTCTGAACTAAACGAAACTCGTCCACCATTTAACTGAAATCCCTTATGCAAAGCATGTGACATCCAGTACAAAACTTGAAAGCGATGTAAACTCATTTGCAAATTGGCTTTTTTATAATGCCGACTTAGTTGCTTTTTGCGTGGACGCACATTATTAAAAACAGGACCACGCCTAGTCGGTCGAGTAACACCCGATAAGATAAGTTTCAGACTCTCAAACCAACGTAAAGTACTTCCATATAATAATAAACTAGGTATATCGAGTTCAACTTCATCACCTGGAATTGGTTTGGTCTCAAATGATATCCAAATATTCAAATTGAGAGAGCGGAATGCGCGAAAAGAATCATGTTCTTGATTGCTAGAATATTCAGGCAACTTGTCAGGTGCACATGGCATAACTGCATGATGATCGTTGGGATTAGCCAAACAAACCCAATTCAATTTAAATGTAAGTTTTAAATTAGGAAAATGTAATAAACGGCAATCATCATAGCGTGAAGCTGTGCGCACAGTTACCTGTAATAAAATAAAACAACTAATATAGAACTTAACTTATAAATTCAAATATAAATATTACTCACATTAAGCTCGCCTTTAAACATAATTTTTGCATTTGTCCAAACAATACCAGCATTGTTCCACGTTAGTTCCATTTCTTCAGTTGTATTGTAGGGATCAAGTGAAGCATGCAGTAATACTGTAAATTGCTTCACAATCATCGTCAAGCGACCATGAAACAGTAAACGCATTTTATCCCAAAACGGTAGTGCTGGACTTGGATCTTTAGACGGTGCAGAAATTTTTTCAAAACTAAGATTACATTGCGCCATCACAGGCTCCCAGCAAGGGCCAAAAGCATAACTACAACACTCCAACTCGCAATCAAAGTCATGGTAAAACTTTAATGACGTCATGCTGCGCTGCACAACATCGGTTTCAAAAGGATGACCAACTTCTATTAAAACATCACGTTTAGCTCGTTTGTATGCAACCTGTTCAGCACCACACAAATTGCCATAAAGACGCATTGCTTTTACATAGAACATAGGCTGCGGAAAATCTCTATAGAATTCAAAGAAAGTATATTTAACATTTTTTTATACTGAGTATTATAATTTTTATTTTAATACGAATACCTTAATTAATAAGTAGTTTATTGATAATTACCTTAACATGAATTTCCATTCAGAGCAACTAACGTTGATACTTCTGCACCACAGTGTTGTGAATTCTAAGCCCTCCTCCGGCCATGGACTTTCAGAGTCTATATCACGCATAATACGCGTTACATTTTCTGTACCATGTATTGAGGGATCAGCCATTGCCATAATCTCCACATCAGTCATTATCCAAGCTAGAAGACGCGTTCGCACAGGTCCTTTCTCATTGATTTTTTTAGACCGTTGTATATAAATCTCTGAATTCTTTTTGACTAAATTTGCGAGAAGACTCTCAATAGTACCAGCAGGTACCAAAAGTCTTTCTGAGCAACGCTCGGCAATTTTTTTATCGAAAAGAGCTCTACGTTTCAAACTCTCCAAATACTCATCTAACAACAAAACGTAATTATCACGTAATTTCACTTCAAATGGATCATCGCTAATTTCAAGTAAGAATTCTTTAATCTAAAATAGCATTAATTAAAATTAGTTATTTAATATACAGTTAAAACTCTCTCCAAAACTCTCCTAACGAACATCTATTACAAATTTAATAACAATACAAATTTCTCTTCGCATCATTTCAAAGAGCTGTATTTTTTCTCGACACAGATCCTACGTGAAAGAAGAACCTTTCCTTACTATAAGTATCCGCCTAAGAGAGTTTTAGAGCATTATATATAAGTTGTTTTTTCATACCTGTATTACTAAGTCACTTGGCAATGGTGAACTCGCTGTGAATGGTTTCTTCTTATAATTGTGTACCATTTTTAGCCACTTAAAGTGAGAAACGAATTGGTTGTTGATGGCATCATAAAAGTCATGGTCATAGGGAAATATTGCCTAATTTAATATAATACAATATTAAATATACGAATTTTTTAAATCCATTTATTTTTACCTTAAACACTCCGATTGTAGTCACCCATACCTTATTGCATGGTAACAAAAACCCTTCACAATTGACACGTGCAAGTGTTAACATATCCAGCTTTGGCAACGAATGAACATCTACGTCTTTTAGAGTAAATATGTGCTGATCATCAATTTTGATAAAAATATTCTCAGCCGAGATGAAATTGTCATCCTTATGCCTAAAGAATAAATTCTCGAAAAACAATTGCATACTATGACGATCTGATAGTTTAAGCTCAAATATAGAGCTACGCTCAGCCGATACTTCAATGATTATACTCTTCTTTGTTTTGTTCTTACTGGTAGCATCTTCGCTCTTGGGTATACCAAGCTGTGTAGCCAAATTCTGCATATCTCTTGCCAATGTTAGAGCGTGCATGTGAAAATTTGAATTCCACAAGACTTGTGTATTGCCCGGAATATAAACCATTAGTTTAGAGCTCCTACTTTCATGATTCTCAAACTCGATGCGTATTATTTTACAATTAGCAAAAATATCTGTAAAATCATTTAGACATAAAGATGATGATGTCATGGAACGCATAATGGCCATTTGAAATTCCTCTAACTTAAGATGAGTAATTTGTTGGGTACGTGTAAGTGTGAATTCTTTAAAGCTAAGCAACAAACACGCTTGGTGATGATTTATAAAATACGCTGTTATATCTTTCACTTTTACAGATACTAGTAAAGCTGTACCATATGATGTTGACGCTGACTGAATGGGTAACGCTTTAGTTTGATCGCAGCTTAATATTGCACGATATTGTTGAACGCATTGCATACTTTTTATTAGGAATTGCGCTAAATTAACGCTATACTCTGTACGAAGTGTATGTATAGAAAGCTCAAGCTTCGTCACATTTGCATATGAATTTAATTTAATGAGGCAGACACCAAGAAAAAAAGGTGAGCCCAAGGAATGGGATTTTTTCAAATTGTTGGTATCATTTATAGAGTAACCCAAAGACCACCATAGCGACTCTATCATTAATTCAGTACTCCAGTGACGTTGGCCGAGTAACATATTTAAAAATTTCTTTTTATAAACTGAACTTCGTTTATCATCATATTGTTCGAGCACCAAACGAACATGACTAACACTCATGCCAGCATTTTCATCATCAAGTTTTGTAAGCATAGATACATTAAATAGTTCAACACACCCTGTAAGATATATAAAATTTTAATAAGAATAATTATACATTTTATTTATTCATTTATTTATCATTTTTACCTTTGACTACAATTCGCTGCATTATAGATTCAAAATAACTCTGTTGGCGATAATCTGCTTTAGTGGTTAAATGTCGACCATCATTTGTGCGTCCAATATTAAAATTATCTTGGCTATGTTGCTCAGGTAGAGATTTTTGTTTTTGACTTAACAGCAAGAACTTAGGATTGTTGTGATCCGTCGAGAGTAAATTATCGTGCACCCAATCATATATTTCAGTGTGGTTATATATTATTTGGAATGTTTTAAGTTTAATAAAGAGATTAAGAATATCATTGTCCAGCTGAAATTACAATAAATTAGTTTATAACAAATGTTATAAGTTGAATGGATAATTTAGAATGTTTCAAGGTTATTGAATAGATTAGAGATATCGTTGTCTAGCTGCAAATTATAATATATATAAAAATTATGATGTATAATATAATATATTTATATAATATATTTATATAATATATAATAATAATATATAATATATATTCGAAAACACTCTAATACCTCTAATAAAAACCCTCTAATATATATCATATAATTATAATATAATATAATTATAATATAATATAATTATAATATATTTCAAATAATACTTAATACCGATAATAAATAATCTTAAAAAAATCATTAATGGAAGAAGATCCAACACTATCACTAGTATTCTAATTGTGATCGTAGTTCATACCATTCCAACGTTCCCTAAAAAACCTACATGGTTGGTTTTCATTGTGAGTATCAAAGTTCTAATGGTTGTGGGGAGAGATATTTCATGGTCCAGAAAGAAAACCCATCCGCTTTTGAAAGCTAAAAAGTTACTTATTCAGTTTGTTTTCATTGCGCACGGCGGAACTTCAATGGAAGTAGTGACCGGCAGTTAGATATCCTCGATGTATTAGTCAGTAGTGAGAGTCATTAATGAGGGTCTAATGAGAGCTAGACCCATTCATTTCATATTTTTGTATAGTTAAAATAAATAGTTTCAAATCAGTATTAAAGGATATGTAACATTATTCAAAATAGATATATGGTAAACCATATTGAATATATATTATACATATATGGTTTATAAAGCCAGTTCATTAATAAAAATATATTTTATTTATATTTTATTTTCGGGGTCAGCTTAATTACTCTTTAATTATTTTTAAAACAAAACTAAATTGAATTAATTATAATAAATAACTTACTAATGAATCGATTGAAAACGTTTCAATAAACAAGAGTTTTTCATATTTTGTGTCAATGTCCAAATGTTGTAGTAGCACCTTAGTAACCAGAGTGGGTAGAAAAGCATCTTCATAGGGAGATTTTGCATTGAATTTGCCACTTATCTGTAACAACATTATTTCGATTTTAATTAAAATTATAGTCAAATTAAAAAGATACTAATACTCACACTAAATAATTGCATTTTAGCACTAAAATCATTTTGTGAATTCTCTTTCATGGTAGAGAATGTTGCTGCTTGCACCATAAAATTAAAATTTTTTGGTATAATTGGTGCGATTTTCAAATAGGAATCATTATTTTGATTGTTAGGAATTTCTTCTGAAAAAATTAATTGCCTTTTTTTGGTTTCATTATTAGTAGAAGTGTTAGTACGCTTTTTAGCCTCACGCAAAAAGTCATAAAGACCGCCATGTATTATTGACTTAGCATTATTAACTACTAGCGATAAATTCTGAAATTGTTTAAATTAAATTAATTAAAATACAATGAAAAAAAAAGTAGTTCTAATATCTAAAATCATATAATACTTACATTTACTGCCAAAGGTTTTTGTGCACATATTGTAACGTCGAGCGCAATATCAAAACTTATTTCACCTAAGCAAGGGCGTATTTTATTTAAGTTTTCCAGGCTCTGACGACGTGTCGGACAATGGCGTAACATTTTTGCCTATGCACATAAAAATCAATAATCAATGAACAAACTTTAAATAAATTTATTAAACCTACCTGTGCTTCATTGAGTGCAGCATTGACTAACAATGTTTTTGAGTTGTGTACAATACTGCCATCTAAATGTAGGTCCTTAGCAGTTGCATGTATAAACCAACCAGGATCAAAGTCATTGTTCATTAAGACTACAGATATATTATTCATATGCACAGCCATAAACTATAACAAAAAAAAATATTTTATTTATTTACAGAGACTGTTAATTAAAAAAAATAACTGTTTTTATAGTTTTTATTTACCTGTGCAAAGCCAAGCACTCTCGGTGGTACTGTGGCATATCTAAAATCGGGCACATTATGCTTACGCTTTTTACTTTGTGCCTGTGCATTATAATCGTTTTCATAATCTGAGTTCACATTACTTCCATTTTGGATGTCCTTGTTGATTCGTATATCTTTAACGTAAATTGCTATAAATTTACTACTATCACTATTAAAAATACTACTTCGTAAATATATTTCCTCAATTTGCTGAAAACAACAGAAGTATTAGAAGATGAATTAGCATATGTTGAATAGATAACATATCAATAGAAATTTAAAAAAAAAACATACCACTGAGAAGCCACTTTTGCTGACGTTAACATTTCTTAAAGCAAAATTTAGTACACAAACGCGACCTATCTTCACTTTAACTTTGAATTTCTTCACAAGATACCAACTGATACATGTGGGTAAAATCCTAAAAATGGACATATACAAGCAAATTTATGTATATGGAATATGTGAGAATGTGTCGTCATCATTAATTGAGAAAATTCATTCAAAGCAAATATTATATTTACCAATAAATCAGCACAAAGACAATCACTCCAAAGAAAAGAAATTTAAGCAGCATTTTTTACAATATTTATATATTCATATTTAATTTCATATTTTAATTATCTATTATCAGCACTTTTAATTTTGGGAATGAACCAAAAGATTAATACATTATCATTTACTATAATATATAAAACAGCTGTTTGTTTACGTTCAATTACTAGGCAGAGCAACAGCTGAGCCGTTGCTAAGCAAATCCAGAGTTGCATTTGCTAAAATAGAAAATATTTAAACGTTATTTTTAGTCGTAAATTTAAAATATGGTTACTTTAGTTACTTTTGCAATATGAATCCACAGAAATTATATAAATAAATAAAATCTAATTTATAGGTACACTACACATATATATATAATATATAGTACATATTTAAACGTTTCTTCTAGTCGTGAATTTAAAGTGTGATTACTTTAGTTATTTTGCAATATGAATTCATAGAAATTGTGTATATAAATAAAAACTAATTTTTATATACACTGCACATATATACGACGAGTCTTTAAAATTGTGTGAATTTTAATAACAGTTGTGAACTAAAAATTTTAAAGTACATTAGGAGTATTCACTCTGTCATTGCAGGGCGCATGAAATGTAAGAAGGCTATACTAAAATTGCAACAGTAAGGAAAACTTCTGTTGCAAATTTGCAACATCAAAATGAAACAGCTGTTTTTGCAGCATATCACGTGAACAACAGTAATATCTGTTGTTTTCCTTTTTTATTTCACTGCAAGTGATATAACAAGATTTTAAGCAATTGCAAGAAACTTTGTGCGTGTATTTTGTTGTTGTCCATTGCAAGCTAATTAAAAAAACTAATTGAACTTTGTAACTAAAATAATTAATTTAAATATAGTCCTTTTCGGTGGCTCGCAAATGTGGCAAAAAATACATGTTGGCATATATTCGCTAAAGCGAGACATTGGCATCACTACAATCTGTCCAGTGTTTTGTTTTGGCAAATAGCAAATCTTCCATATGTGCACATGTGCAAGCAAATTACATTTTGTATAAAAATAAATAATTAATATAAATTTAAAATTATAATTACACAATTAAAAGGAATGATAAGAATGTTGGAAATTTCAAAGTAAAACACTGAAATTTTTTCTTTTTACCCAATTTTCAAATGTATGATTTTATTTGAATTTTTGTTTACATTTGATTTTTGACAAATAATTGCAATATTCGTTGGAATTTACTTATTGCGTTGGTACTAGCCAATAAACAACTACTGGCCTAGATTGAAAAAAATTGTGTTGTTAATTTGCATACATTTCAGCCAGTATACTACACTTACGAGCCACCGAAAACACCTATTTTTAAAATAACCAGTTGTTCTTTAGTAATATGCTTGCAAAAGAAAGGTCTAATGTAGTTAACCATTACTTTTATTCATTTTGATATTTAATAAATATTTAAATTAATTTTAAATTTAGTTTGTAGAGTCTAAAAAATACGAGTATATTATTTTAACAGATTTAACAGATATATCAGATAGGGACTCATTTTTTACCGCACTCCGAAGCGGCTGAAAACAGTTAATACTTACCGTTATTTTTTCTTTCAAAATACCAAAAAAATACTCGCAACTTATGAAGGAAAACATGTGAAACAATAACAATACTCTGTAAATCTTCAGAATTTGATTTCACTCGGAAAAATTTTTACGTGTTAAGTTTTAGTGCAGCCAAATTCAAAAATCGGTCTATAGAGAATGTTAACTAAAAATACGTTATAAAATTCCAATAATCCGTTAAAATCATATGACCATTTCATTTACAAATCAAATCAAATACAGAAATAAATAAATTAATTAATTTGAATATATAATTAAAAATGCTAAACATTGCTCTTCTAGACCGATTAAATTGATGGTAAATTGAGGGAAATAGTAAATTATGTCGGTATGACAGCGAATGTTGGTATTTACCAGAATTTCGAGTAGAGTTAAAATTTACTTAAATTTAGTTAAATTTTTATTAGATAAAAATTAGATAAATTAGGTATTACCATTGTGAAAATTTTATAAGATGTTTAATAAATAAATAAATTTGAAAACTTTTAACCAAAATGGTAAGTGCAATAAATAAATATTTACATAAATGCAGTGTAAAAAATCTCTAGGAAATATTCATTTTGTTTTTTTTTTATTTAAAATAATTAATTTTTAGTATTTACAATTTTTGTATTGTACACAACACAACAAAAAACATATGTTATAAAAAGCATTTAACATATTTTAAAAGTGACGCCAATTTCTTTCAACCAGACAAATTGCTGTTTTTTTACAATTCTGAAAGAAAAAATTGGGGGTATTATGATGGAGCTTTGAATAGCTCATTTATATTTGATTACATATTATGTAGTTTACGCAGCTGGCAATGATGTTGAGCTATACGCTGTGTGAAAGAGATAACCATATTATACAATGTTTGGCATTTATCGTTGTATGTAGTTGTGCTTCGACAAACGGAGTATTTTACAACTACCAATTTTTATAATAAAACACATATTTCGATTAAATAAATATATTTTCAATCGAATCAAAATGTGTTAAAAAATCTTAGTTAAATATCTGCATAAGTTTGTTAATTTCCACGAAGTGTGATTATAAAACAAATTTGGGTGAGCAAAGTGAAAATTTTCACCTAAGATATTGACACCGAGTTGCCACTTCAAAAGCAAAAAAAAAAAGTAAGAAAAACATATATTTTGAAGCCCTAAGGTTAGTTTGGTTAAGACGTGATGACAAATTACTGTATTCAGTTTTGTTTTTAAGGATATAAGCACATTTTGTTTGTTATGTGCTATTTATTTAAATTCGCATTAAAATTACTGTATGAAATAAAAATTAGGACAGCCAAAATACACTAAAGTCAATCCATAATTTATATATACATATAATAAAAAAAACATTAAATAATAAAATATATATTATGATCATACAAGAGCCAGTGCAGGTAAGAAGAATACCCATTAAATATATGTTTTTTTATATAATTTACGAATTTTTGCTATTCAATACATAGTCTGCCATATGGCATTGTCTAAATCACTATGACCACAAGGACGCTGTATTTCTTGCGGAACGATTATGCTCTGAAGGTAGTATCTCTTATACTATTTCTCTGAATATGTTTAATATTTATTTTGTTTATAGTTGAAAGTGACGAAACCATATTTATATTAGCTACTAGTTATTATCGTTCAAACTTCATACATCAAGCGTACTGGTTACTTAAGGAAAAATCTAGACGCTCTCCTCAATGTAGATATTTGCAGGCGAAATGTGCTTACCAACTGAAAAAGTATGCGGAAGCCGAATGTGCACTAACAAATTGTGGTTTTGGGGATTCGAGAAATTTTGATGAAATGGCTAAAGATTATGGTGAAGTTGCATGTTTCGTATTTCAACTGATAGCGCAGATTTGTATAAAAACAGAGAGAAATAAAATTGCGATAGAAGCGCTAAAAAGAGCATTGAAGCTGAATCCATTTATGTGGCAAGCTTTTGCGGATTTATGTAGTTTAGGAGATAATGTAGACGCCAATACCGTATTTCAAATATCAAGTACAGACATATTTAGTACTTGTCAGGGCAATTCAAATACAAATTCCATGATTTTGTTCGGCAACTCTAACAATTTCAATGACGCCAATATAGTTTTAAATAATCAAACTAACATCAACATAAATATAACTAATTCAAATAATTACAATATCGGTACAGTATCTGTTGAAGGTTTATCAAATAACGGAATGAACAACACTTCCGCATATATACTCTCCACGCCTAATGAACAACAATCTCAAATACAGAACAATAGTATATTAGCGTTACAAAATCTAACAACACCAAATAACAATCTCAACAGTTCGATAACCATGTTGCGCGGCAACACCAATGGACAGCAGAATCAAAATAATAGTATGGTTATGTTAGAAGATACACCTTCGGGCTATGGAAATGATCACAACATCGGTGTAAATACAGTGGAAAGTGGATTCGGTACGCCGTTTAGAAAACAATTTAAATATCTATCAACATTTTCACCAACAACGCCTAGCTTTGGTGTACTACCCCTTAATAGTCCTTGTACGGGGTTGGAATCACCTTTTATTGGTAATATAGGTGCTGGACACATTCAAACCAATTTAAATATAACCAATTCACCCTCGCCTCAAACATTAGCAGAAGTTAATCAGGAGCAAAAATTGTTGGGTAAAAAACTTAAAGTACACGTTGGTGGCTTAATAAACCGAAAAGATACTTCGAATTCCGGTTCAAATAAGCCTGCCGTATTTACACAGACTGGAAACATAACACCACGTACACCTAATAATGTCGGAAATATGAATACAGGTGAACTATTTATAAATTTAAAATTATTATAACATTTTATCAAGTTTCATACAATCTAGGTGCTGCCATTTCTAATGCTGCTGTACGTAGGAGTTCACGCCTCTTTGGCAGTAGCGCGTATTCAGTGAAAGAGAACAATAAATCACCCAATATAAACAATAATAAATTTTTGCAGCCACGTTCCCCACCACGTAAAACAAAAACACGTATGACGAAAATAACACTCAACAACGAATTGATTGAGGAAAAATCGATAAATATGAATTCGGATAAAATAAATGAAAAAAGCTGTAGGAAAGATAAAGAGAAAGTGGAAACAATAACATCAGCAACAGGACATATTCGCACAGCCGAAGATACCAAAGTTTTACTTAATAACAGTCTTAATAATGCTCAAACTATGACGCACCATGTGCTCGCCTTAAAAAAACAATCTGCCGATGGTTTAATGACGTTAATGCGTGACTTGGGCGAAGGTTACAAACATTTAGCACTTTTTCAATGTAAAACAGCAATAAAACATTTGGAGGCTACGATACCAAAACATCATCTGTGTTCCAGTTGGGTGCAGTCACTGATTGGATTATCTCATTACGAGCTGAGGGAATATGAGTTGGCGGTACTAATATTTAAACGAATTCATGAAACAGAACCACATCGATTGGACTATATGGAGATTTATTCATCGTCTCTGTGGCACTTGCAAAAGGAAGTGGATTTATCAGCTTTAGCACAAGATTTACTTAATCAAGACAAATTATCACCAGTAACATGGTGTGTTGCAGGCAATTGCTTCTCTCTGCACAAGGAGCACGAAACAGCAATAAAATTTTTTAAACGTGCAGTGCAAGTTGATTCTGAATTCGTTTACAGTTACACACTTTTGGGGCATGAACTTGTGCTAACTGAAGAACTAGATAAAGCATTAGACTACTTCCGTGCAGCGGTAGTACGTGATCCGCGGCATTACAATGCATGGTTTGGAATTGGTACCATATATTCAAAACAGGAAAAATACGAATTAGCAGAATTACATTACATTAAAGCCTTAAAAATCAATCCGCAGAACTCTGTGATCCTAGTGCACATAGGTGCAATGCAATATTTTATGCAAAAAAAAGAATTAGCACTTCAAACCTTAAATACAGCTGCTGCATTGGATCCTAAGAATCCACTTGCACGTTTTCATCGTGGTTCAATCTACTTTTCTTTGGGTAAACATCAAGAGGCGTTACGTGAACTTGAAGAGCTTAAAGAGATTGTGCCAAAGGAGTCTGTGGTCTTTTACTTAATCGGCAAAATACATAAAACATTAGGTAATGTCGATTCAGCATTAATGCATTTCAGCTGGGCCACAGATCTAGATCCAAAAGGAGCAAACAACATAAAAGATGCCTTCGACTCAATGTCACATCCAAGTTGTTGTCCCAATCTGAACGAAACAAGTCTTGAGGCTGATCTTGAACCTATATCAGAACGCTCCGATGATTCAACGCAGGCGCAACAAGATATTAACTATGATAGTGATGCTTACTAGATTCTAAGAATCATTTTGACTGAGTTGTGGTGTGGAAAGAATATAATATATATATATATATAATTATAATAAAAAACAACTGCAGATAACAATTATAAAGCTTAACATTCTTTGCGTGTAATATTTTTGTTCAGTTAATGATAATAATACATATTAATGATTTTTTTTCTTTCTTTAATTACGACTTGGAACTGTTCAATTTATACAAATAAATATTGAAAACAGAAGTTAAATATAAATCGTTAATATAGAAAAACGAATTAAAATAAATGTATGAAGTAGATAATCGCTTAAATTGGAAAAAAAATTCTATTTACTTAATATTTTTTTTTAAAAAAACAACGGTTAATTGAGTTCTTAATATAGAGATTATTAATTACTACATAAAAATCTTAACAGCACTTACTAAAGGAATTAAGCCAATTCAATTAAGTTACTAAACTAAATTAAATGAAATCACGTCGATTACAAAATAAACCCCTTCACTCCAATCAAGCAAACAGTCGATACGCAAGTCAAATTTTATGCATGTATAGAAAATAATTCAAAAATCAAAATGCTAGTTAACAGCATGAAAATTCGACAAAAGAAATAGAAATAGAAGTGGCGAACACAGAAGGAATTTCACAAAACACAAACTAAAGTGCTATTGTAGTGATGTAATATTAAAAGGGTCTAACAAGCTTAATGTGAACAGCGGGACCGATTAGGCTCCGCTGGTCGCAATCAGATGTCGCCAGAATATTCCGAAAAAATTATTGTGTTTATATTAACACAAGTTAATAGTCAAGTTTAGCCTGAAAAACGGGCTAAAGATTAATATTACCATAAACTAAAAAAACAAGGAACAAAGGTTAGGCGATCAAATGTGTCCGGATTATTAAAAATAAAGTGATTGTGTTTATACTAAAACGATGAAAAATAGGCTAAATATTAATATCATCATAAACAAAAACGAAGAACATAACTTCTAACATGTTTAAAAATTTCTGAAGAAATCTTCTATATAAACATTTTCAAATCTATTCTATCCTATTCTTTTTTCACAAAATATGATAGATATCTCAGTTAACTACAGAGCTAATCATTATGGCTCTTCTACTTTGTAACCACTAGAAAGTAAATGAGCTTAAAAAACTTGCTAGATAATAAAAGTGAAATTTTATACAATTAATAGAAACCTAAAATGAAAATTCTAATACATTAAGAATGAAATTCACATATGTATGTAATCTTATTTTATTCAATGTCTTTATTATTGCGTTCGTCTTTGACTTGGAAACCAAGCATCTAACAGAGCACGTTTATTATCTCGTACGTGAGTATTTTCTAGCTTTTCTATATTGTTTACAGTTTGGAATGGACGCGTTCTTGCAGTACTACTTGAGGTGTCGTTTGTATCGGTGAGATTGGAATATGCCTCTTCAACTTCTTGTAAGATACTGTTATCCAAATTAACTATTTTATTTAGCACATCATTTAAATGTTCCACATTTAAATCAAAAACCATAGCCAATACTTTCGTATGGTGTTCATTTAAGTGGTACACAATTTTCTCTGCGTTCAAAATTTCGCGTATATTATTGCTATCGAAAACGCCATGTAGTGACTCTGGTAGAGAAAGTGTAGACGATGATGTATTTATTTCATAAGCTTGGGAAAAATCTGGAGTAGGAGGATAATAATTTTCTTGAGGTACAATCACTAAATCATTTGATGAACAATTTTTGTCATAAATTTTGTGATTTTGTGGTACAATAGTAGTTTCCGTTGGGTGTAACTGATGTTCAAAATGTGCTGGATAGATTTCTGGTAACTGAGAATTTCTTATAGCATTCAAAGTAAATAGGGGTGGCTTATACAAATTCATGTTATAATATTGTTTAGGTAAATTTTTCATTATCTGAGTTTCAGCTTTTTCTGCTGACGATTCTATTTCTGTTAGATTAATATAATTGGTCGGTGGATTTGTCAATGTAGCACGCTTTTTATATAAACGTTTTGTAGTAATTGTTAACTTTTTATCTGTATTTTTCCTTTGTTTCGAAATTTGTTTTTTTTTCGAATTCGACTTTTGTGTTCTACAACGTTTTTCAGTGGTGTACCCATTTCTTTGCAATTGCGAGCTAAATAATATAAAATACTTAACAATTTTCACATAAATTATTAATTGTATTAACATACCCTGTATTTTCTTTATCAATTGAATTCAATGGCTTTATATTTTGTAGCTGTTTTTCTTCATTTTGTTGATTTATTGTAGCACTATTTTCATCTATATTACTTTTTTTATTTTCATTTTCAATATTTTTAAAGTTAGTTATATTAGTTACGTTCTTAGTCAAATCGATTGGATTAACTTCTATGTTGTGTTGAGGGTTTACTTCATCACCATTATCCTCATTATTTTTGTTTTCCATAAAATTTTCATTATTTGATATTGGCATATTTTTCTGACCTAATAGCATTTGGCTGGAAAAGGTTTCATTGAAGTCTTGTAGTAAGTCCTCAGATAGTTTTCTTTTTAGTGATTCTTTAGATTTTGTCTGAGATAGTTGAGTTGCTGGGTTGGTCTCTGATGTCAACTTTT